TATCTATCTATCTATCTATCTATCTATCTATCTATCTATCTATCTATCTGTCTGTCTGTCTGTCTGTCTGTCTGTCTGTCTGTCTGTCTGTCTGTCTATCTATCTATCTATCTACATGTTTTAACTCTTGGCAAGTGGATAAAAAAAAGAAGTTTTTTATTCTTTTAAAAATTCTATATTAATTTATTATTTGAATATTATGTGTAACAACATTTTTATTAAGTAACTAAATAAACATTTTTTTTTACATTTTTTAAAATCTACTAAATGCATAAAAAAACTGTGGAATATCAAGTCTTCCACGGATCTTGATGCTTGCATTCTTTTTTTTTTATGGTAAACACATCATTTCTGATGTGTTTCACATAATGTAATGTCTGCTTCACCTTGTAGATGTAAAGCTCATGGCTCTCGTCTGACAGTGTGGTGCCGTCTTCCCTCATGAGTGGAGTGAAAGCAAAGCCAAAAAGCTTCTTTTCTCCTTTGTCCTTTGCTGTAAAAACAAACAAACAAACAAAAAAGTTTAAATATTCAAGTTTAAATATTCCAAAGTGCTTGTCAAGTTTCAAGTGCCAGTAATTTAAATAAATTAAAATGTTAATAAAAATCATATCACTTCATGAAACAAGTGAAAAAAAACAAAAAGCTTAATTTTTGAGTATGTAGAGAAGTGCATGCATCATATAAAACCCAACAAAACATTATCTCATACATTTCAAAAAGGTTTTTTATTCTTGTAGGCACAATGTATCTTTATATCAGTTGATTCATTTCAATTGGTAAGTGTAAGCCTTCAGATCAAAATATCAGAAGAAAAATCAATTCAGTAAAATGTGTGCAACATTATACCAGTACTGTGCAAAGTCCTTACTTGAGCAGTGTCTGAACTCAAAGCGCAGATGGGAGCCGCGGAAGCGCTCGATGGGGATGGGCAGTTTGATGACCTCACTCCAGCGCGGACTGTTGTTGTGGTAGAGGACGAAAGAGCGGTACTCGCTGATGTTGTGCTCTCCTGAGCCCAGACTAATGCACTCCTGATAAAACATAGAAGAAATTGAAACCGTTTTATGTGGCTTTATAGTGTGCATTAAATTTTGCGACACCAGCATTTTTGATGGGCTTATGAAACTCATTTACTCCTCCAAACTGACTTCAATTTTGTTTGGATTAAATGATTCACCACATGAGCTACAGATCACTGATATGTTTTTCAAAGGGATAGTATTTTCCCTACTGTTTGCTTCTAAGGATTCTGCAATTTTTATTTCAATAATCGTGCAGCACAATTCCTTAAAGTTTCTCCTTTTATACCAGGTTTGGAAAAACATGAGGGTGAGTAAATGATGACAGAATTTGTATTATTGGCAACTTTTTTATTAGAGTAGTCTGACGTACTTTGAGGATCTCGCCGTCAGCGTAGAGCACATACATGGTGACCTCGATGTTCTTCTGAACGCTCTTGCCTCCTCTCTCAAAGTCTCCTCTCTCCAGCGTGAGGTAGAGGTCGTTGCGTATGTCGCCTGAAGATAGAAAAACACACACATTGTTCGGTAATATGAGTATTTTTCTTTTTGGCTTAATAAAACTGCACTTGTTACAAATATGTTGTCATTTTGTTACTTATATTTTCGTTTTAAAGAATTATTGCAAGGAAAACTCAACATACAGTACATGTGTTGCCACAAGTTCAAACATCTTAGTCAAAAATCTGATGACAAATTTAAAAAAAAAAAAGTTAGAGATGCATAAAGATTTTTTTTTTTCATAAGTATTTTCTGTGTTTGGATTGTAAACTTAACTTTTTACACTGTTTTGTAACTTTTGTTTTCTCTCTCTCTTCTCTTGGTGAAACTGCACCTGTCACAAAAACATTGTGTTCTGTGTTTTCTCTTATATGTTCACTTTGGAGGGTTCATGTGAGTAAACCTTAACACGCGTGTCACCATGTGGAGTTTAAAAAAGTTCAGAGATCCTAGACCAAAAAATAAATAAATAAATAAAAGTGACAAACTTTATAGAATGATTTTATTTGATTTAATTTGAATAATTTATTATTATACATTTTTTTCCAGTAAGTTTTTGTGTTTGGATTGTAAACATCACTTTTACAGACTTTTTTCCTTTTTATGAATACCACTGTTAGGTAGTGTTTTTATTTTTTTACTTGGTGAAGCTGTACCTGTCAAAAAATTTTGATTTTGTTCCTTATACTTTCATTTTAGAGGGGTAATGTGAGGAAAACATAATACATGTGTCACCACATGGAGTTAGACAAAAATCTAATGAAACAATGAAAAATATATATATAATAATAACAATAGAGATGGACAAAGTTTTTTTTTTGTGTGTGTGTGTGTTCAAAATATAACTTTTTCAGAATATCGTTGTTCAGTAAGAATTGTTTGTCTTTTTTTTTTGCTTGGTGAAACTGTACCCGTCGTTTTGATTTTGTTCCTTCTATTTTCATTTTGGAGAATAAATGTGGGGAAAACTCTACATAAATGTGCCACCACATATAGTTTAAAAAAAGGCTCAGACATCTTTGCCTAAAATCTGATGATAATCTTGCCACTTGGAGAGAATGAATTTTGGACCCTGACTACAAACACAGTTATTGGGAAAGAACCAAAATACATCAGTCTGCTCTGTCTAACCCATAAAAGCTGGAGAGATAAAACAAAAAACAAAAAAAACAAACTGTAAACAAATATTTTAGCATGCTCCTATACCTAAGCGGTTTTTATTCAAGCTTAAGAGAAAATGTAATGGTCACACTTTATTTTAAGGTCCAATTCATGCTATTAACAAATCATTAACTACGACTTTTGCCTCAATACACTCCTAATTTGCTGCTTATTAATAATTAGTAAGGTAATTGTTAAGTTTAGGTATTAGGGATGTAGAATATGGTCATGTAGACCATGCATGGTTACCCATGATGCCCCCGGCACACTTAATTCAGCTTCACTTTTAAACTCTTTTACAGACTGTCATAAAAGCTATTGCTACATAAAGGTCAAATCGTTTGTCCGGCTAAACCGTAGGAGCGAAAGGCTGTAATAAAGCTCATCAAACTTGAGTTCAAGCTGTCTTAACACTGTGACTCCACATGTGACATTGGTTTTCAGATGACTCTTTCATTATCAACCTCATTCAGTCCATGACCCAGCAGCCCACATTCTCTCCACCGAGCGGCAAGCATCTGAATCATAACTCTCAAAATAAACACAGACTCTCTCTGGAATAGCGCTTAGCTTTTACTCGTCTACTCAGGGGAACAAAGTTTTAGCTGGTAGTCAAAGAAGTTGTGGGCTTAATTTGATTTCTTACAATTACAGCTGATGCAATAAAAGAAAATGCGTGGCTCTGCTAGAAACCATTCCTCCTGCAGACAGTTATGAGCACAGAGATGTACATTTCGGCATACACCTTAAAGGGGTCATATGATGTTGCTAAAAAGAACACAAGAATTGTGTATTTGTTGTAATGAAATGTGTTTATGCGGTTTAAGGTAAAAAAAAAAACACATTATTTTCCACATACTGTACATTATTGTTTCTCCTCTATGCCCCGCCTTTCTGAAACGTGTAGATTTTACAAAGCTCATCGGTCTGAAAAGCGAGGTGTACTCTGATTGGCCAGCTATCCAGTGCATTGTGACTGGCCGAATACCTCAAGCGTGTGACGGAAATGTTACACCTCTTACCATATTGTGATGATGCCCTGTCAGGCCGGAGCGACGAGACAAAAACATTAAAACCCATTATAAACGAGGCAATCGGCTTCAGCTTGCTCTGATGCCACCTGATATCTCTTGAATGGCTTTACTGGGGGTGGATATACTGAGGGAGAATGATATAAACCACCTTACGCAATAATGTGCTCGCTTCATTATGTGTGTAATGTGCATAATGAAATAGTTTCCTTGACTTTTGCTCACAAATTGAAAATGACTTGTACATTTTGAGTAACAAAGAACAACATTGACCGTCTGAGGACCTTTGCAAACATTATGAATCCCCATTATACAGTATGTATGAACTGATATTACAAAGTAGCACAGATAAAATTCTGCTCAGTTATAACACTTCTAAAGGTACCCTGACAGAAGCGAAAAACTAAAACCTTAAAAAAAGTATATATATATATATATATATTAATATGGGTTGGCAAATGAAAGAAAAAGTGTGTTACAAAAAGACTGTTGTACTGTCATATTTTACAAGTTGTATTTACAAGTTGTTGTTGTTGTTTCTTTCAGCATTATTAAAAAGGGTTATTATAGTTAACTAAAACTGAAACTAATATAATATATTATTATAGTATAATATATTAAAGTATAATATATTTAGTTTATAATATAATATAATAATTATTATTATTATTATTATAGTAATAAAAATACTTCTGTTATTTAAAATGAAATAAATATGTTTCAGCTAGTTACCAACATTTCTTCAAATAATAAATATATAATAAAAATAATATAAAAAAACTAGAACAAAAATATAAAATAAATGAACAGTATATAAACTACTAAAAATGACTGAAACGAAATTGTAAATGAAAAATATAAAAATATATTTTTTAATATTCATAAAAACTATAATAGCATATCAGTGATAATAAAATAACAGTTACACAATAAGTGCATACAATTTCATTTTGACAACTGTATTTTTTTAAAAGCAAATGTCTATGACATTTGACAAAATTGGAAAAAATAATTTAGAAGAAAAAAACTATATAAACTTTTTTTTAAATCTTTGAACATGCTCTGGAGTCATTAGAAAATAAAAGCTATTAAAGTTTGATTTTAAAGTTTAAAGTTTTATGTTCTATATTTTTTTGTTAGTAAAGGATTCTTTTAACCCCATAATTCGTAGTGTTTATAATTAAATGTTTAAAATGATTTAACAACAATGTTAAAGGGGTCCTATTATGCTTGATTTTGTTTTGGGGGTGTACCAGAACATGCTCTCATGCTTGTTGGTTCGAAAAACGCATTATTTTCCCCATAATTTACATTATTAAAATACCTTTCTCCCCAGCCTGGGACAAACGGCTCGATTAGTTCCGGCTTTGATGAAGGTCTGCCTTCCGAAAAACAAAATGTGTTGTGATTGGTTAGCTGTCCGAGTGCATTGTGATTGGCAAACAGCTTAGACAGTGTTTCAGTACTGCCACGCCCCCTTGCTCCGTCTTTCAAACAAAAGCTTTTGGGAATCCGGCACTTCTCACTCGTGATGTGGAAGCAGTCCTCAGTAAAATGCGCAGCACACAATAGCAAATTGGGGTTATAATGCTCAGGAACAGAGCTAAAAAGTAAATTGCAACCACTGTTTCCTGACATCATCCGCTTTCGGAAGCCCAAACAAAGACGTTTGGGCACGGAGGTGAAAAAAACAGCACTTCAGGCAGTCGCACACCGGACGAGAAGCGCAGCGTCGCGCCACGGCTTTAAAATTCGAACACATTATTTTCTATGAGTGTAGCACATCGGCGGTGTCTGTCCGCGGCGCCCAGCTACGTCGTGTAATACTTGTAAGAATTGTTCTAGACCAGCGGTTCTCAATTCCAGTCCTCGCATATCCCCGCTCTGCATGTTTTGCACGTCTCTCTTTGTTAACACACCCGATTCAGGTCATCTCGTTAGAAGTGAGCTCCGTGCATGAACTGTGTTCCGATTGACATGCTCCCTACTCCCTGAGCAGGGGAAATCCGTTGAAGTTTACTTCACTTCGGAATATTCATTTACAGATTTGCGCCGCTGCCTGCAGCGTCTTCACACACATTCGAAACTTACTAGACAAGCGTGAAGTGGGACATAATATACCTCTGTAAATAAATAACATTTAAATTCACATCTTGCACACTTAAATGCCCTTTGTCTGGAACATATATGCTCCCTTCAAACTGGAATCATGGCGGAATATCCGGTAATGTCCACTTCGCAGGGCACTTAGTCAAATATAACAAACGTCTGAAGCAATAAGAGAAACACACAAAATGTGCAGAGCGGGGGTACGCGAGGACTGGAAATGAGAACTGCTGTTCTAGACATGCCAAAAATTTGAGGCTACAGCACAGCAGCTCTTCTTCTTGGTTTTCTCTGACGCACTAACTCTGCAGCAGCTCTTCTTCTTTGTCGTCTCGTCTCATGCGCTCAGTCAACTAAGCGTTCTAACCACAACCACAACCTCGCCCCTCCCCACCCCCCAACCATTCGAATTTCTGTAGGCGGGAATTCTTTGTAATGAAATTCTAATGATCCGCTTTATGATATCACAAAGCCCGGAAACCAAACGCTGTAGTCCAAATGAGCCGTTTGCTGTAGTTCTTGAAAATGGATTTTTAAAAAACTAAATATCTCCCTTTGGAGTGGACTTTGAGATTTGTAACGTTCTAGATCTTTTTTATGCCCAAACATACACACTACACTCTGACTAAAATTAAAAAAGTGAAAAAGCATAATAGGACCCCTTTAAATGGTTATAACTACTAAATATCTTTTCAATAAATAATACTAGTTTCATTACAGGAATCCATATTGACAATATTGGCCTTGATGGTACTTAATATCACATTGAAAAGAAAGTAAGCGGACATGCAACGTCCCACAACACAAATGCTACTGTTAATTAGTGAATCTACCATGAATCAAATCTAGATAAGAAAGCAAATACAATCACAACTGCTTTTAGAAACAGTGGATGGAATAGACAAAGCTTTATTTAGTAAAAGCCGGAATCAAGCTTTGTGTGTTTGTCTGTTTGGCTGACAGCATCCTACAGTTCCACATCCTGATAAAAATGTTATCTGGCAGCAGCAGGCTGGCTCCTGTGCATTCCTGTTTAGATGCTTTCTGTAATGGGTTACGGCTACAGCGTTAGACGCTTCTCTCCACTGCTTCTGAGCTATTTCACTGAATTAACTCCATATAAAGCTCTCTATTCAGGCACAAATTCCTTCCAAAAAGAAACAATCCTGGTGCATTCCCAGCTGGAAAGAGACAGCAGTAGCTAGTGTATAAAGAAACGGTTTACGTATTTGCATGTGCTCACGTTATGTTTTGTTATGTATATTAAGAGGATGACAAAACAGAGAATCACAGGAACATCGAGAAAACTGACGTTTTTTTCCCCTCAATCTGGATATTTATACACTCGTTTATAGTGTTGGTACTATTAACTAAAACTATAAAAAAATAACGCTAAAATTAAATAAAAATATAAGACAAAAATCATCAGGAAAACTGATTTTTGATGTTTTTTGAGAATCTATCTGGATATATTTACACTTAGATTCCCTTACATCACTTACAGTATTGCTATTGTTAAACTATTAAAAAATAGTTTTAAAGCTGAAATAAAATAGATAAAATAAAATATTAGATGAAAAAATGTATTTAAAGAAAACTTTCAAAATTGAGAGAAATTAGTAATTTTGTTCAAACTAAAACTATTAAAAAATGAAATAAAGCTAAAAAAAATTAGATGAAAACTTAAACAAAAACATAAATATTAAAACAAAGAAAATGAAAAAAAAACCCGGAAATAAATAAGTACAACAATTACTATACCTAGAACTCAAAGTTAATTAACTAAAAATAAATAAATAAATGTAACTAAAAATAAATAAATGCACATAACAAAATTATGAAAATTTAAATTAAAACTGAATGCATTAAAATAAATGTTCATTTAATAATAGTACTGTATATATACACATAATACTACAATAAAACTATGGTGTTATTGTCATGTTATGTGATGATATACGCCTCTTTAGATGCCAAATCAAAAATTGATAAAATAAGATACTATATTCAATTTTAGCTTCTAGATTCAAGATTCTACAGTTGATTCAATTATATCAAATACTTCATGGGATGAGTTCAATCCCTCATAAAAGACATATACAGTCTTTTACCTCTATCTGTTTACTGATATTCAAACACTGTTTTGCTTCAAATGAAAGTCGTGGTTAGTTTGGTTCATGGCTTAAAACTTTTTTGAAATCCCTACAGAGAAAATGAGTGCGAAAAACTCTCCCAGAACTAAGGCTGTTGAAATCAGGCATTAAAAAGAACCCGGAAAAGCTGAAATGGATGATGCAATACCAACCCGTCAAGACACTGACACCAGAAAAGGATTGTACAAATACTTCTGGAGAGATTTTGTTAAACAAACTCATCTCCGGCTTATTGAAAATGTCATGAGAATGAATAATTTCCAATCCCAAAGCTTGTGGCACTTCAAGTGTCATTAACATTTCATAATGCCAACAGTTCAATATTCCATCTAATTGCTGCCTCCAAAACCTAATATCATTTGACAGACAGATATTGTTTCTTAATGCAATGGATCCCAATGCTGGGACCAGGCTTTAGAAACCTGGCCAGTTTGATCTTTTTAGGAAATAAAGTCAATGCAGCAATCTGAAATAAGATTACAAGGGTTTTTCCCAGACACTGTTGTTCAATAACATCTAAGCCCATTCAGAAATACACATACCTCAGAAACCCAAGGAACCATGGCTCTCAGAAGGCCATCGGCCATCGACTCGAGCACAGCCTTGTCTGTGATTATAATCAAACTACCTCCAGTTGATCGATCAGTGGATGATAAACCAATCACTGAGCTCTTCAGAAGAACAAGGAAGCATTAACTCAGAGACTAATGAGAGGGATCTACAGAAGAAGATTGAGGACCTATCAATCCACCTTCCACTGCAGGACATCTGGGGTTACAAGACTGATATGTGAGTTTATGGATGAAGAGAAGAGATATTGTACATGGCTACACGATTTTGACACTGAAGACTGTTGGGGAATGGACTGGAGAGGCAGAGCTCCATCGAATGAGTCGATGGAACACGCAATGACAGGATTTTATTAAGAGAGCAACTTTGAGCAGCCCCAAGGCTCGTTCTGAATCACAGGGAAGGGATTTCTTAACTCAACTTTGACGTGGAAGGAGTCCAGCTGGTTTTACAGGCCCTCTGGGGTTCGGAGCAGAGAGCCGGTAGAGTCTGTCAAAATGTGGGTCGTATTCATTTATATAAGCTTGGTTCTACGCAGCTAAAAGCCAATGAGGGCGATTATGTGCTGTTACGTACGATTATTAGTCATGCTAAAGGCTCTTTCGCAAGACTCGCTTCAGGGCTTACCCATCGCTTTGACCTCCACAAGAAGAGGTTTGCGGATGGCGTGACGGAAGGGTGGCTTTATGAGGTTTCTAGGTAGTGAGGAAACTTTGAGTTTGGAACCGAACTAAAGGTTTTTAGTGATTTATTTGATACAATGAAAAAGCAACAGATGTTTAGGTAAAGGTACGCTAACATTTATCACTGTTTTTTCATCACATTTTTGCACCTGAAATTCAATAATTTCAATAGGAATTTACACTCTGGAATTTCATGAAAGATTTATCCATGCAGGTTTCGCAACGGGTGGTTGGAATCGCCAATTGTGTATTTTGGTCTGCAAATTGTCTTTTACTAACATGACCACACCTTAATGCTGCGATTCTTTTCAATTTAGCCAGTAAGCAACCACCTATAGCACATTAGAAACCACCTACTGTTGCAACAACCTGGCATCCACAAAGGCTAAAAACAACAGGCAAAAACACATTAGCAACAGCATAGCAACATCCTGGAAACCACCCACAACACCCTAGCATTCTGCAAAGTCAACCCAATTATTTCGATTGAAAAGAGTGGCTGATATGATAAGCCGCTAATTATTTGCATGTTTTGGCTGATAACCTATAAATCGCAAATATTAAAATTGTATACCATTTGGTCTCATTAAAATAAAAACAACAATAAATAAATTGTTTTATATGCTACAAGAGAATTTAGGCACCACAACATTGTACAGTATGAAAAATGGATATTCATTTTGAGATTTGCTAAAGATTACATTTAATTATTAAATTATTAGTATTTTTAAAGATTGACTTCAAGTGACCATTAAAAGACCATTCACAATTAAACAGTGACCATTCATAACTAAACAGCCAATATCACCCAATATATTAAAAAACTTCTAATAATGGCGATAACCGATATGGTACTAACATATTGTGCACCGTGTATGAATAACTACTACTATGCTGTGGATATTACAATTTTATACTGTTTTATCTAAATAAAATATTTTAAAAAAAATTATGCTACAAGTAAATGTATCATTGTAATCTATAATATGAAAAATATAAATTTTGAGATTTGCTAAAAATTACACGTTATAATTAAGTTATTATTAATAATTAATATTTTTCAAGACTATCTTTAAGTAAATGCTGGTCAAATATGATCTAGATGTAAAAATAAGGGAAATGATCATGGAGTACTAAGCAGATAATATCGGCCATAAACCGATATGATACCAACATATTGTGCATTGCATATGAATAACTATTACTATACTGTAATTATTAATATTTTATTCAGTTTTTGTCAAAATAAATAAATAAATAAATGCTACTGGTAAAATTAGGCATCGCAACATTGTACAAAAATGGATATACATTTTGAGTTTTCTAAAGACCACATTTAACAAAGTTATTAAATTATTAGTATGTATAAAGACTAACTTTAAATGAACATTAAATTATGTAAAAATAAGGAAAATGAGCATGCAGAACTATAGAGCCAATATCACCTAATATATTTTCAAAATCTAATATCGGCCAATAACCGATATAGTACATATTGTGTAACAACTATTACTATATTGTAGATATTTTAAACCTAACTTGCTGCAACAGTCTACTTTCAGACCATGAGTATAAAGTCTTAGCATTTCTCTCGCATTCATTCAGTCCTGAACAAAACTTTAAATCCAACCGTGACCTTCATGAGACTTACCTGGCATGATCACATCAGGGAAGCCCAGTTTGCGTGTGATGGCCACGCCGCGGTTGAATATGATGGGGTTTTCCCTGCGCACTTGCTCCATATCGCCCCTCAACAGCTGCAGTGAGATGATTAGACCTGCACGACAAGACGAGTTCGGGGGAAATGTGAGACAACTTCATCATGACAACCACTGTAATTATCCTCATGATTACGTTAGAATTTATTTAGTAAAATGGGCCTTTGTTTCGAAGAACGTACCAGAGAGATTGTGTTTCTGTTACAATTTTATTCAGGTCTTTATGCTGGCTGCCAGTAACTGCCTCAATTCAATTCAATCAAGATATTGTTTTGGGTCTACAATGCCGCTAATGACCTGGCTCCGCACTACCTTCAATTCTTCATTAAATCGTACACACCGGCCTGCCTGCTGCAATCAGTCATTCTGATTGCCTGGCTCCCGTCAGTTCCCAGTGGGAAGGGTTTCTGTTCATCCGGGTCCAGAAATTTGTCTAGGCCTTCCCCTCGATGGTGGAATAAACTCTCAATTAGAACAGCTAACATACCAATTACTACTGAACGATACCTCAAAACACACCTCTACCATATTCTTTTCCACTAGGATTTAAACTGGCATTACTTTGCTTGCTGATGCAGATCATTTTGAGTGTTTTAGGAATCTGATCTAGCTTTTCAATATTACTTTGGACTCTTTCATCATTTCCAAGACATTCTACATAAATCTGCTTGGTTTGAAAGTGACTACTGTCAATCGCTACACTATTGGCAATAGACCGTTTTCCTCTGCAGATTTCCTCTGAAATTTCACTAATGTGACCACACCTTAACACTACAGACCAGTAAGCAACCACCTATAGCACCACATACAGTAGCAGCAACCTAGCAACCACATAGCAACAGGCTAAAACACACTGGTAACAGCATAGTAACACCCTGGAAACCACCCACAACACCTTAGCATTCTGTGAAAATCACCTCAATTATTTTGATTGAAAAGATTGACGATATTTAAATTCTGGCCGATATGATAAGCCGATAATTATTTTCATGTTATGGCTGATAAACAATAAATGGCCAAAATTAAAATTTTATATAATTTTGTATAATTAAAATAAAAACATTTTCAAATTTTCTAATTGTCTAAAATATATTCAATATTACATTGGACATTACATTCCCCACACGTTATACGAAAGCTTGTTTCCGCCACAGGATAAAAAAATATAATAAAAGGGTAATTGCAGCTTTTTTCTTGCAATATAAACTTGCAATTCTGAGAAAAAAAGTCATAATTCTGAGAAAAGTCCAAATTGTGAGATATAAACTAACAATAGAAAAAAAAAAATCAGAAATATGAAGGAAAAAAAAAAAACGTGATAAAAAAAATTTTATTCCGCGACGACAAGTCGTAATTTTTATCCTGTTATGGCAAAATAAATTAAAAAATTGCGAGATGTAAACTAAGAATTAAGAGAAACAAAGACCAAATTGTGAGATATAAATTCAGAATTCTTGGAGAAAAAAACTCAAATTGTGAGATAAAGTTGCAATTAAAGTCACAATTTTATTTTATATTTTATTCCATGGCAGAAAATTACTTCTATAGAGGTTATGTTTGGTTTTTGAGGCTAAAGCTTTGCATGTGACTTGTATTCTTATTTACCTGGCATAGTCATGAGTACTTTTGCATTTTCCTGTAAACGTGCTGTCAAATTTAGCAAAATTTAGTCATTCCAATAGGAATCTGCTAAATCTTGTGAAAAACTGAAAAACATTCCCCATGCAGATTTCATTTATTTCAAGTTGGTCACTTCATTATAGCAGAATGTCAAATTAACAACCAGACAACCACCTACAGTTATTTCAGCAAAATAAGTGAAATGTCGACTACAGCAGTGAAGCAGGATAATGGACAGACTTTTTTGGAAGGTCTGTTCAGTTTCAGTGAAGCTAAATGTTTCTCATGCGATGATAAATCAAGTGTACGAGCGTTTTGAAAGTGCACTTACCATAGTTAGTGCTGGGGGCGGTGTATTTGGTGCTGGACTTGCGGATAATGTTCTCATGAATCTGGTACCACTCATTTTCATTATTACACCTGTGAAAGAGACAAGCAAGAGGACAATCTTTATAGCAAGATCATAGCAGGGAAAATATGTTGTTGTATGGATGAAGCAGGTGGAATCGCTGCATCAGTATTCAAGTGATTCCCAGAAGCTTGGAGTCACAAATCTAATTTGTCAGTATATACTGTATGTAACTCAGTTTCAACAGTAAAAGTTCTTGTCCTAAAGGGGCATCGCAGTATGCTTACGAATGTGCCAGGACTTTAAGTAAAAACTGGGCTTTCATCCAGTCAAAGAGAATTATTCATTTGCCACAATACCCAGTGATACTCTAGAGTAGCACGACTGCATAATGACGATACCTTCTCAAAATATTGGAAAAGAGTGAGTGTTGAATGAGTGTTTAAAAAGCGTTAAAGTCAACATAAAACTCTGTTTGCACTTTACTTGTATAATGACATAGTTCCAAGTAAAACAGGATATTCCACGAGAACATTGTTTCATCTGTCTTTTGGATTTGTGAAAAGTTCCCGTTACACACCAGAATGGCGTAATATGACCAGGAATGGGACAGTCATGAAAACAACTAAAAATAATCAAGAAAAAGACAATATTTTATAATTAGTAATTCACTAAATATTTCAGAAGTTGTTCTTTATTGTTTTGTACATTTAAAATTTACATATAGAAACACAATCTTGTCTCCTTTATCTGTCATATTCTATTATATTTATTAATTGATTTATTGATTTACTTACTTGTTATTTTTTATCTCCATTACAGTATATACAAATATAATAACAAATAAGTAATTATTAACATAATTTAAAATAATGTTTGCTCCATGCTTTTTTGTCATTCGTGGTGTTAAAAACATTGTTAAAATAGAATGAATGAATGAATTAATTAATTAATTAATACAGGTTTAATCTGATCATTGGTATATATAGGTATATCTTTTTTGATATTGCGTGTTTATATTTCATTATTTAGATTTTTTATTTATATTGAATATTTCTTTTATAGTGTTTATAACTAGTAATTGCGACTCAAATTCTAGTTAACATCTCACAATTCAGACATTTTTCTTGCAATTCTGAGTTTATATCTCAATAACAAACAAACACACAAACAAACAAATAAATATGTTTAATCTGAACATTGCTATATATTGGTATGAATTTGACACCAAATTATTTTTATATGAAATTTATCAATAGTGATAAAGCCCTTTCCTACTTCACAAAACAAAACAAACAAACAAAGCAAAGCAAAACAAAAACACAAAGAAAACAAAAACAAAACAAGACAAAACAAAACAATCAAAACAAAATAAAAACACAAAACAAAACAAAGCACAGAGCAAAGCAAAACAAAAACACTAAGCAAACAAAACAATCAAAACAAAATAAAACAAAATCCTTTAGTCATCCATACAACTGTCTTTTCTGATTAGTAATAATGTTGAGACATATGAACCATCAGCTTTACTGAAATTAAATTGAACTGAATAAAAAAAAAATAGTGTAAAACAAACAAAACATTTTGTAAGTAAGAAAAATCTAAAATGTTTGAGAATGGTACTATAGAGTATTATGTTGTATCATTTTTGTCTGTTTCTATAAAAAAAGTGGTATATCTTTGACGTTGAGTGTAGAATAACCTATAATCAAGATAATTAACCCCAACCGGCACAGCTGCATTAGCATTTGCATACGGCGTTTGTCAATTGGCACTCTGAACGATATAATGGTGAGTAAAAAAACACGCAGTCAAGTACAGCCAAGTGTTGAGAGCCATCACAATGAAGCAAATCACGACACTCTACTGTATAAAAGCCTAGGAGTGCGGTGCTCTCAGGAGAGAGAACAGAGCCTTATGCTTCATTCCAGCATCAGTAGCTGCTAAAACGCTGTGGGCTTGCTGTCGGAGGTTCGAGAACAGCAGCTTTCTGGCCTGAGGGGAAGTGATGTCATTAATGCCTGACCAAGAAGTGACTAAACCCGTCGTAGCAGCTGAAAAGGGACCTCCGCGCTATGCTAATGCTAGTGTTTGTGGTGGCTTAGCGGGCAGATGCTTTGTGGGAACTCCCACAGAGTCCATCTGGTTGGCAGTCATGGTGACTGGCTCCACGGGCGTCAAGGGTGATTCTGGTCTGTCGCGCGCAGGGTCACAACGGCATTACACTAACACAGGCTGTTTGATGGAAAGTGCTACATTCCAGAACACGAAGGAATATCTGCTGCAAATCTGATCAGATCAACTGTCTGTCTGGTTTGTCGTTTGTCGTGGCATTATGTTCCCAACAGTCTACCACTAGATGTCCCTACAAACTAAACACACACTTCCATGCATAGAACCTTGCAAACATGCATGCAAATACATGTATTGCATAAACATGCATATATACTGTATGTATACATCAGCATCTATTTTCCTGTCTTCCCCAATGCTACAACCGCAGAGATACTGATCTGCTCACTTAAGCCCAACGTACAGGAAAGTCTTCAAGGCTCAACAAAAAGACTGACCCGGGGCGAGTGTGAGAGAGTTTCATGCCGATTGACGGAACTGTGACTCGCCCAACAGAATCATAGCTGAGTCACTCAATTATGTGTTTTTATGTCTTACATTTGGTTTTCTGTAATACTGTACAGAATGTAGCGTCTGGACCAATCAGACACACCATTTTTCATTTGATTTAACAAATCAATTATTCATTAGATTAACAAATCGTCACAGTCCCCTCACCAAATAAACTGGATGCCAGGATGTCTGCCATAACACCAGGCCCCCCCTGGTTACCATGGCAACCCTGACACTAGATACATTTACGACCTAATGGAATTTAGGTGGAGAAAATCACTGCTTTTTCCATAAGGAAAATCCCCAAGGCACAGTAGGAATGGACTTTTCTACTAATTAATTCATAGGAAAACTTTTATTTGAATGAACACACATAGCCTTCAGGTCATTGTGCATATTATTGCTGTCTTGTATATTATCTGTTGTATTGTAGACTATTTTATGCATGCTTATGATAGAACCACTCATTCATGTAACCTTACATATAACGTGTTTGGTCTCTATTAATTCGTATTCGGATGATCTAATTGAGAGTGTATGTTGTATGTTTACACCTATGCAACATATTAGTGTTCTAAGAATCTTTAGTAATTTTGATCCAAGTTTCATATGCAAATTACCATGCTTTCAAACAAAGGGTCATAAAAAACTCCCCAGTATCTCAAAACTCCCACTTGGGATTCCGGACTTTCTCATTGGACAAGCCCATCTTGAGAGGCGTGACTCTTTGCAGACTTTAAAGGCCGCACTTCACGTGACCCGCCCGGAGTCGGTGGTTTGTTTTGAATTCTGAGAGGATGTGAGAAAAACGCTCCTGGAAACCCTAAGCTCGTGCGAGGCTTCGGCCTTGTCTTTTCCATTCATCAAGTTTCTCTGACGCAAACTGGTTCTTTTCATCAACCAACTTCAGCAAAAATCCACGTGAGCCTTCAGATTGCATCAAGCCTTTCTTTCAGACAGACGAGACATGCAGGCATTCAAACTTAGTCTTATTAATTGATACATTAGGTATCATTTGCACCTTTTTACAAAGGTGTGTTTGAACTAAGAATCTGATGTTTCCCTCAGGTGTAGATCTGCTGAATATGCAAATGGTTCAATAACTTCATATTCGTATTTCTCTTCTCTTTAACGGGTTAAGCTTTAACCCTTTCCTATACAAACTGTGTGCGTGTGTGTATGTGTGTGTTAGACCAGTTTATGTGTTTATGTAGGATGTTAGACCAGTTTAAGTGTTTATGTAGTATGTTGGACCAGTTTAAGTGTTTATGTAGTTAATAAAACCTTACTTGTATCACACTTGATGTTGTTCATTGTTTGCTCATAACTGGAGTCACTTAATCATGCAGATTTATGCTACAAGCTCTTTGTAGAATTGTACAGTAAGAAAGTTATTTCCCTTAACCAGGAAATTAACGTTCTTAGAATTGACAGACAGTTGACCCTGAGAGGTCAGCTAAATATCTACAGCGGATCTAAAATATTCATAATTAATTATAACTAGTTATGATTAATTATTCATATTTCCCATGAGCTGATTCCCTACAGAATATTGGTGCAAATTGTGCTGGGTGAAACATTTCACTAAGGCTGCTGTCAAAATAAATATGGTTGAAAAAATACAATTGTATCTTAAATACATATTAAATACATGTGTATGTATACATGTAATGAACATATGAATATAGTTTGGAGTTGTATAATATAAACTGTGTATTTTAATTATGTAAATTATTTCATTTAATTATTTATTAAATATGCAATTATTTAAATAAATAAATAAATAAAAATACATAAATAAATAATTTTCTACAGGCTACAGACTAAAAATACATATGGATTAAAAATATGATAAAATATGGGTTAAAGATATAATAATACAATAGGAGTTATATAATATAAATTTAATATGTATTTTTTAATATGTATTAATTATTATTATCAATTTTGTTTTAATTAAATTATTTACATTGTTTTTAGTAAAATAAATAGTAAATAATATAATTGATATATTTAGCTTATTAATATAACTATTTGAAATATATAATAATATAATAAACTGTATATTTGAATTGTTTTGATGTTAAGTGTTATTAAATTAAATAGCCAATTCTTTAATTGTAATAAATAAACAAATAAATATGTACTTAAACCAATATTATTAGTAATAAGATCTATTATTCATAATTCAGTAAAAATAAATATATTTTATACAATGAATAATAATAATTATAATAATAATAATAATAAATAGTATATTAGAATGATATCTGAAGGATACTAAAGACTGGAGTAATGGTGCTGAAAATTCTGCTTTGCTTAAAAAAAAAAGTTATTTTTAATTGTAATAATATTTCACAATATTACCGTTTTTACTGTATTTCTGATCAAATAAATGCAGCCTTAGTGAGCAAAAGACACGTCTTTCTTTACACACACATACACACACACACACACACACACACACACACACTGTTGGCCAATTTTTTAAAAATGTTTTTCTCTTCTGACTCCAATGCTCCCTCATGCACAATGTACAATTAATATGTTTCATTGACATTCAGAGGTTCTGCAGCACTAGTGAAAAGCACAGATTCTTCACTTCAACGTTACTGCATTTCTCCTAGTTTCACAGACACTGATGGCTTAATGTCACATGACTGCTTGTCATTTTGATTGCTGGGGTTTCCAAACAAATCTAGCCTCGCCCCCTTTCTCCACACACCTATTTATTTATTTTTTTTCTTTCCTTGATTTGTCTTTCTTTTACCAGTTCTGTCAGTTCCCCAGCCAGTGAAACAGAGGAGGCTTTCTGCATGGCTGCACCAAGAGGTAATGAAAGTGTGTGATGGAGATAGCTAGAGGACTGGAGCATGTGTGTCGTCCACAGGGGAGGATTTCAGAGAGAGCTTCACAGCACAAATGACGCGCACTGTCACAAATGTACGCTGCAGCTAATGTAGCTAATTATTAACTGTAGCTAATGTAGCCAAGAATGTAACTAATTATTAGCTCTATTTGAAAAACCTAGTATACCGCCTACATTGACAGCTGACAACATGAGTGACTGAATTTGAACGTTCACAATTAATTACAATAGTGTTAGCATTGCTATGCATGTCACATAGAGGTTAGCATGTTGTTATGCTAATAGCACAATACTCAAGTGGACATAACAATACATAGCACATACAAATATTTAGTGAAATATAAAAGCATACTAACTGAAAGGGAACCTTATGAGTGACTAAACTAGAACGCTCACAAATCATTTCAATAGATTATGATGTTAGCATGTTGCTATGCTAATACTGCAACACTCCAGAAAGCATAACAATACACAGCGCATATAAACTTTGAGTGAAATATAAAACCTTACGATCCGAAATGTAACCTCATTAGTGACTGAATTAGAATGTTTGCAATTTGTAGAGTCTGATGTTAGCATGTTGCTATGCTAATAGCACAATACTCTAGTAAGCATAATACACAGCATATTTATATATATTTTACTAAAATATATGTGTATAGGTAACTGAAATAGAACCTTCTGTGTGACATTAGAACATTCAAAATCATTCCAAAAGAATTTATGTTAGTGTGTTGCTATGCTAAATGTGCAATAAAAAAACATAGTAAGCATAACAACACACAGCGCATATAAACAAATATGAAACTATTTTGCACCTATACTAAATGAAATAAGTATATTTTGACATTTTTCTTTAATTGCCCACCAGTTTTGATTATTTATTTTTCTCTGAATTTGTCGCAATGCATTCTGGAATTGCTTTAAATGCTAAGGATGCCTCCATAAGGCAGCATAATGATGCCAACTGTGACGTAAGCTTGACTATGACTGTCACAGTGTCTGGTTGTGGTGCCCTGGACTGGCCACTTGAGGGCACTCTCCTGTTTCTGTGTTATATGTTGTGAACTCCATTTCCCATAGTCTCTTGTTTGTCATTCTGTCTGATCATTAGCACCTGGTTATTATTTCCGATCATTATCACCTGTTAGTCATTTACTCATTATCCCAGCTATATATACCTTGCTCACTCTGTCTGTCATTGCTGCTATTTTGTATTGTCTTCTGAGTTCATAGTTGTCTCATGTTCATCGTGTTTTCTGTTCTCTGTGTTTTGGATTACCTTTTGCCACGATTTTGTTCTGTTCTGTTCATTTATTACTTAATAAACAACTGCACTTGGAACTTCCTTGTTTTCTCCTGGCATTCCGTGACAGAAAATAGCAGCCACTACAAGATCCAGCAGTTTGTTTTTCTTTTTTCCTTTTTTGAATCATGGACCTTCGGATCGTCCCTCTTCTTTAATTGCCCACCAGTTTTGATTATTTATTTTTCTCTGAATTTGTCGCAATGCATTCTGGAATTGCTTTAAATGCTAAGGATGCCTCCATAAGGCAGCATAATGATGCCAACTGTGACGTAAGCTTGACTATGACTGTCACAGTGTCTGGTTGTGGTGCCCTGGACTGGCCACTTGAGGGCACTCTCCTGTTTCTGTGTTATATGTTGTGAACTCCATTTCCCATAGTCTCTTGTTTGTCATTCTGTCTGATCATTAGCACCTGGTTATTATTTCCGATCATTATCACCTGTTAGTCATTTACTCATTATCCCAGCTATATATACCTTGCTCACTCTGTCTGTCATTGCTGCTATTTTGTATTGTCTTCTGAGTTCATAGTTGTCTCATGTTCATCGTGTTTTCTGTTCTCTGTGTTTTGGATTACCTTTTGCTACGATTTTGTTCTGTTCTGTTCATTTATTACTTAATAAACAACTGCACTTGGAACTTCCTTGTTTTCTCCTGGCATTCCGTGACAGAAAATAGCAGCCACTACAAGATCCAGCAGTTTGTTTTTCTTTTTTCCTTTTTTGAATCATGGACCTTCGGATCGTCCCTCCTGCCACAGGGAAGGAGCGAGTGATCCGACACCGGACTCTGATGGCTTGGAGGCAGGAAGGAATGGAGGTTGGTGGGTTTGCCCAGACCTTTTGGACATTGGCGGTGGGTCTAAATTACAATGATGCTGCACTTAAGGACCTCCTTAACATCTGTCTAGATAATCCTTTGCCCCAGTGGGAGGTGGAAGGACTCGAGATCCTAGACTTCTGGGGCTTCGTCAGATATCTCCAGGGTCGAAGTCAGTGGGCAAAACCAGGCTAATCAGAAACCTTCTGCAGGGATTTTCCCACCACCTCTATCCTTCAGACTCCCACTAAGCGGCGGAGGGTGAGAAGGAGGACAGGAAAGCCCACTCCCGAGCCCGCTCCAGTCCGGGAGGACAGGAAAGCCCACTCCCGAGCCCGCTCCAGTCCGGGAGGACAGGAAAGCCCACTCCCGAGCCCGCTCCAGTCCGGGAGGACAGGAAAGCCCACTCCCGAGCCCGCTCCAGTCCGGGAGGACAGGAAAGCCCACTCCCGAGCCCGCTCCAGTCCGGGAGGACAGGAAAGCCCACTCCCGAGCCCGCTCCAGTCCGGGAGCTCACCGAGCCCACTCCCGAGCCCGCTCCAGTCCGGGAGTTCAGCGAGCCCGCTCCAGTCCGGGAGCTCACAGAGTCCAGTCTAGCTCGGGAGCTCACAGAGCCCAGTCCAGAGCCCGCTCCAGTCCGGGAGCTAGCGGGGACCGTTGCTGGGCAATCTGCTTGTCCTGTTGCAGCCGTTGAGGCTGATACTAAACTCTCTCAAGCCTCACTGGTTCATTCCTCCAGCTCTGTCCTGGCTATCTGCTGGGGTTCCTGTATGGTTGGGGCCCTGCTGGTTTGTCCTGCCGGCCCCGCCTTGGCCTTCCACCCTGCCGGTTCCGCTCTTAGACCCTGGTCTACCTCTGTTCAGTGAAACCCCTTCCTTGGCATGGTCCTGGCCCGCCATCCCTCCCCCTGGTCCGCCTCAGTTCCACCTCCCTCCTGAACTTTTTATGTTTTCTGGTGGAGCGTCTGGTATCCGCTCCGTAGAAGGGGGGTAACGTCACAGTGTCTGGTTGTGGTGTCCTGGACTGGCCACTTGAGGGTGCTCTCCTGTTTTTGTGTTATATGTTGTGAACTCCATTTCCCATAGTCCCTTGTCTGTCATTCTGTCTGACCATTAGCACCTGGTTATTTCCGATCATTATCACCTGTTAGTCATTATTCCAGCTATATATACCTTGCTCACTCTGTCATTGCTGCTATTTTGTATTGTCTGAGTTTCCTGGTTGTCTCATGTTCGTCGTGTTTTCTGTTCTGTGTTTTGGATTACCTTTTGCCACGTTTTTGTTCTGTTCATTTATTACTTAATAAACAACTGCACTTGGGTCTACCTTGTTTTCTCCTGGCATTCCGTGACTATGACGTCTGAAAATGCTGTCTAGGTAGGCAGCATACTAGGGTTTGGAACTGCGTGGCTTTGACATACAAATCTCCATTTATCAAAATGCAATGACAAATCTGAGTTTGAGAAAACATCCGGTCAGTCATGAAGCAAATATGTTCATCTGATCCGTACAGTGCGTCATTTACATAAATTTGACATGAATTCATGTTTACAATGCTCAGCTTTGCAAATCTCAAATTGAGGCTACAATAACTCATAGTTCTTGCTGGAACAGAGAAGCTAATATATTCCTGAGTGGCTTTTATCCATCATCGCTCAAGTGTTTTGTCAAGACTGTAGATTTAACAAGGCAAGCGAGTGATTTTCACTCATGGTTTAATGCAGCTCATAATAAACTTAGTTCACAAGTCTTTCTTTTAAATTTAATTGATGAATCAAACAGAACAATGGCTCTAAAGTGCACAGAAGGGGCTTACGTGTAAACTTTGAGCACAAAGTCTTTCTCCTCTTTGAGTTCAGAGATGGTCTGAAGGACATCGCTCATGGCCAGCACTGCGCATCCGTACGGCCGGCGGTACTGGACCTGAGGGGGGCCTTTCTTCGAGTCGTTTAACAACATCCGCCCTGAACAAAAATACATTATACATCACTGTCAGAAATACGGGTACACAGTACCATCTGCATGATTATACAAATCATGTCCGTGCATGCAAGAAACAGCAAATTACATATTTTAGCTTGTTAGCCTATAGAGCAACATTTCCCTGTGGATCAGTGGCCATTATAATGTTGTTACATTAATGTTTGTCAATTTATTGGCTAATTATTGGCAAATTATATCACTTTAGTACTCCTATAGCTGGAAAATATAACTAAAACAATGGTATTTCATTATTTTGGCCTTCTGAATATAAAAATAAATAAAAAATCAAGAAAAAAAATTGATGAAGAATCTAGTCAAATATAACAATAAAATAATAAATAGTGACAAATATGTTATCCAGAATTACTTATTCTTATGAAAAAACTATAAACATTTTTTAATGCAAACAAATCCTCAAATCAGTGAATTAACTTACTGAAATGGGCAGAAATCAAATCAAAATGTACTACTCTGATAATTTTATGAAACTAATTCAAACGAGTTTCAAACACTTCCACCCGCCTGCCATCACAGAAACATCTAAAGATAATCAAAGTTTCCACAATCCTCACAAAAGTGGTTAAAAATGGCCATTGAGAGCCAAAAGAGGAAAAGTTTTGTCTCATTTGGGGGGTTGAATGGTCTGCTCCAGCCTCCCAGTTGCCTGTCCCTTTATAAACTGGAATGAAGCTTGCAGTGCCACACTTATGTAAGAGCTCTAGAGATGCAGTTGCTGGCAGAAATGCAGTGCCTTGTGGCAACATTTGGCTCCAAATGAAGGAAATGGATAGAGGAGATACAGAAAGGGAAAGAGGCTAAATGAGATGGGATACTCACCCGTCCTGATGACCTGGGACACAATGTACAGATCTCTCTTCATGTCCTTGTTGCTTAAGTCCTGTGAGAAAATAAGAGAAGCTACTTAGAGTCAATTTTTTATGTATTTTTCTAGCCATAGCAATAATGGTTGTTGGTCCCACCGTAAAGAGGGCGCAGAGACGATCGACCTTCTCTGGGTTTTTTGGGCCACCATTTTTGTTGAGTTTCACCATAAACTTCTCACTGGAAGAAAAAAAAACTGAGAGGTTGATTTTGAGTTCACACAAGAAAGTTGTCAAATACAAATGTTCATAATTTAGACAAGAAAATACAGCTAGAAGTAATTACTCTCTCAATTAAAAAATGGTTTTGCTTCAGAACCACGTTTTTACTTTTAAACATCAGCTGGTTTTCGTTTAAAAATGAACATTATCCTAAATAATGTTTTAAATGAAAATGATCCTAAATGATGAAGTGTGTGATTTCTGTCAATAGTGTCACAAAATTGTCACAGAGTTTTTATGCAGCTGAATCAATTATCAATCTATGAAGTCAAAAATAAAAAAAATATAGTGTGTGTGTGTGTATATATATATATATACAGTTTTACTTAATTAAAAAAGCCGTACTTAAAACAGTAATTTTTGCTAAAAATGTATTTAAACATCAAAATAATTGAATAAATTATTATCTAAATAATAATAATTTGATAAAGCTGTATATATATATATATATATATATATATATATAAATATTGTGTATACTGTGTATATTTATTATGTAAACATAAATACACACACAACAGCATATCTTTTTTAAATATTTACATGTATTTAAATGTCTATATTTATAGAATTTATATTATAAATAAATATATTTAATATATAAACATAACCTATTTTTCTGAAATATATACATGCATGTGTGTGTATTTATGTATAGATAATAAATATACACAGCACACTTACATATATTATGTAAACAAAAACTTTTATTTTGGATGCGATTAATCGCGATTAATCGTTTGACAGCACTAATATATATATATAAAATCATTAATGTTTATAAATGTAACTATATTTAACAATTAAAAATGTGACACTTATATTCAAGCAGTTACATAGCATTGCACTTTTTATTTTTGAATGAATAAACTGACAACTGATTTATGTATTTTATTCCATTAGCAACATATTAAGAGTTGAAAGCACTATTATATAAGTTTAGGATTTAATTTTATATTAGACATTTTTATTTATATATGTTCCATAACCTCATGTGGCTCCTCATGACATCAATCTGGATTTAATTCTACACAGTGGACCCTCATGAATTATTCCAGACCTCACACAGGGAAGATGTGGGAAAACACTGAGAATATTAATAAAATCATGTTTTCATGTCTCTCTGTTTCCAGTGGATTGTCTGTGCTGCAATCAAATCACACTTCCTGTCTGCTCTGATCCAGTCTAATGGAGTCTGTGGCACCAGAGAGATCCTGACGGCGTCAGTACTATCTGAGTGTGAGCCGTGCAGCTGTACAGGTGGCTTTGCGAATGCTGCCTAGGTCTTTCCTCAAGGACAGACGCCACCTGAGTCATTTCTGAACTGTGCTGCAATCAAATCACACTTCCTGTCTGCTCTGATCCAGTCTAATGGAGT